ATGTTGGTTCAGCGCATCCACAACGCGGTCCATTTAGGGGACATAAAAGGTAGTCCCAATATTTAGTAAAATTACCAAGCAGCGACGAGCTCTTTATACGGAACCACCTAAAGTCTGCCTAAGGCGAGACTGTTCTTCAATTAATGACTTGATGTATGTCGATCAATTATTTATAGGGCGGCCGAGTGTCGCGATAAAGATCCAGATACTTGCAGTATCGTTTTTCTCCAGGTTCAGCTATAGGATAATGCTGAGTAAGTGACGTATTAGCACAACTGACGTTAAACGCGAGGTAATTTGGCAAAGGAAGCGAAGTAGGCATTACAGACCTATAAAACCGGATGCAGGTAATTGATTGACTCCACCGTAAAGACCGTCGTCATACGTATATTCAGCCGCCAGACTCCTTAACAGAGGAGGGCCTGATAACAGATATTTCCTAAGGTAATTTGAGGAGCTACAGGTTTACTCCATATTTAATGTGTCTGCTTGCAGTAAAATTAATGCTTCACTACCGAGATCTTTCAAATGTTTTTCCCCTCGAACAACGACCTCCAATACCGGGTTCCATTATTTACAAGTCAATTGTAGCTAACAACACGGGTGGGCTCTCGAGACATAACTGCTAGTCGAAGACCTGCTTTTGAATTTAAAATCCAAAATTTCAGTCGTTCACTCCGTTCCAGAGTGTTCATGTTTTCTAATGAAGATAATTGTCTTAATTGGTTTTTTAATGTCAATTGACGTACTAAGTTTTGACACGTTGCTCGAGTTCAGTCGTATCGTCCTATACAATTGCGTCTAAACCGAGTTAGACGGGGTAAGGTTCCATCGTAGTTAGCATATCCTTCAAGCCGTGTTTATTGACAAGGATAATAGAGAGTTGAGTGACTGTTCTTGTTTTATTTGTCATTTTCAGTCAAGTATCTTTCATTTCAAGTCGTAGCTAATGAAGTAAACGCCCCCTCATTAGGCCACAGTCTCGTGTGGTAATGTCCGCAGTCCGAAGCTACCAACTTCATATAGAAGCGACGTTCACAACGGGATACGGGCACCCATCCACTTCCTTGGCACACTGGTCTCGAGGATTCGCAAGTGTTTGTGTGGTGAGCAACAGTCTGAAATCGAGCAGCATAAAGGAAAAAAGGGGGCAAAATGAAAGACGCACCACGGACGTGGATATAGGCTGCTGTATAGATCTTGCCCTGGTTGCCAAAAGCGTAGCAACTGTAAACGCCGCTGTCGTTCAGACAAAGGTCAGAGAGCTCCAGATCCACAACACCGTCACTAGCGCTCATGGCGCATCGATCACTGGGGGTGAGAGGCCTGCCGTTGAAGAACCAGCCAAGGCCGACCTCGTTTTTGAAGGCACAGCTTAGCTGCACGGAGGAGCCCACGTCACAAATCTGACCCTGGAGGTGACTGACCACGATAGGCAAATCCAGCTGGGCACTCAGGTTAAGACCT